CCCCAAAACCCCAAAACCCCAAAACCCCGTGATTCTGATAATAGGTGTGTTGTAATGATTTATAATTCGAAGAACTGCGTGCATTCTAAAAATTTAATATTTTAATTAATTTGATTATATTGAAAATGAAAAAATTGCCCATTGATAAGGGTTTTGACTCTGTAGTCACTAGCAAATTTAGAGGCTCTAGCATAGACGAGTAACTCATACATATGTTTGTTTAAATATTTAGGACTGAGAAGAGTTCACGGCTTTTGAAATCAAAGTTTGAGTCAGTAATAGAGGAGGATGACTCAGCTTAAAACGATTCTAAAAATTATAAACATTCGAAATCTAGATAAAAGGTTAAAATTGGAGAAGATTTTGATAGCATTATCTCCTCATAAATAAAAGTGACTTCGCGTAGAACTTTTGAGTGAGAATCTTCTACAGATAACATGAAAAAAAAGTAATCATATATGATGGATTATACTGACATTCCAAATGATTAATATTAGCCTTAAAAGATAACTAAAATGCCTGAAATTACAGCAGAAGATGTTTCAATGAGCAATACATTAGTAAACAAAAGCAATGATGAGACTGCCTAGCACCTAATTTTAATAAAGAAAAAGACTAAACTGACAAAGAAATCAGGAACTATTTATCCTGGAAGGGCTGATTAGGAACAGAGGGGAATGGCTGCAGCAATAAATAATCAATAAAGCTATGGTATTTAGCAAGAATAATCTCTAGATTTCACCAAAAATAATGGTGACTAGCTGGAGGATAGTTATTCCCTCTAACAACTGAGTTCAGCCATGTGAAAAACTATGAGAAACAGCAAAGTAGGCTCAGGCTCATCGTATTTTGAAAATAGATCAGTTTCATTTTAAGTTGATTTTTATCAACGAGAAAATATGAATAATTTCTTCGACGCAAAAGACTCGACCTAAGATCCTAATATAAATAACAAAGAAAGTAGTTAAACTAGTTTAAGACTACAGAGGATGTAGTCAAAGATTAATTAGGTAAATGCAATGAACAAGCGCATAAGCATTGACGATACAGATGATGACAAAAAATAGTAGGAAGAAGAGAAAATAACTATTGAGCCATATCGGCGAGAAAATACTAAATCAGTTAGCTTACCCCCTATTAATAAACAGAAGACTTCTCTAAAAAGAAAGGCTTAATCTGTATAAAATAATGTGCTTCACGATCTGGTTGACTTTGAACCTATGCTAATCAATACAAACCACCCTAATTTACATAGAGAAAGAAAGTTAAGATTAGATTGGTATAAAAAATAACTATTAGCAGAGATAGAATTGTAGACACCTACGAAATATTTTGGAGGAAAGGATAAGAAGAGTGTACAGTTCAGAGATGAAGTTAATGATGATTTATGCGAAGTCGTCTTTGTAGAGAGTTATAAATAATACTATCAAGATCCTTTAAAGGTGCCTGTTAAATGTGCATGTTCATGCAATATTTACTGAAAACAAGGATTCATTGCAAATATAGAGCCATTTTTATAAATATCTCAACTATATCCCTTAAATATTAATTGCGTGTATTTATATCTAGTGATTTTTATCATAATCGTTTATTTTAGTTTTATGGGGTTTTGGGGTTTTGGGGTTTTGGGG